GGCTTGTATTTTAGTACTTAAAATGCTGGTGCTTTTTGCTTTTATTTCTATAAGTCTTTCATTTGTCTGTAGTCACAGAGATTTGCCTTTTCCTTATCTGAAGTCAGTAGCATCTTTGATACAAAAATGTAGCACTTGATTATGTGTTGTCCAGCTTCTGCTTGCTATTATAACTCACAAAGGTACAGTGAGGGGAGGAGGAGCGACAAGAATAAAAGCGATGTGCCTGTGAGTAACACTGGAATGGCGATGGACAGGAAGAATCAGTAGCTTCATGCAGTCAAGAGCAGTAACAGACTTAGTAAACAGCTACAACCCATGACTTTGTTCTGTAAACACAGTTCATCTGCCATCAAAAACACCTTGTTATTCTCAACTTAACCTGGACGTACTCTGTACATATAGATAACTGAGCTGTTGTTGCAGGATGCAGGCTGTCGACACATTACAGCCCAATATACTGCAGCTTCAGCCAAGCATGATCCCAAAACAAGAGTCCAATCAGTCGTGTATACGGTGGGCAGAGAGATAAAAATCTGACTTAAATTACTTCAGTTTCTTAAAATACAGTCATCTTAAATGCCGAAGCGTAGTACATTTGTACGTCAAATAATAATTGTCTAGAGGCTGGAGGAATGAAAGCTGAAGTGACACAAGGTGACAAGGAGTAGTAACAGATACTCTGAGGTTATAAATTATATTCCTGTTGTTTGAGAATGAAAATCAGACCACGTTCTGTATATGGCAGATTCTAAAATCTGAAATACATGAGAAATGACAGCTTTTGGCAATTTGATTTTACATGCTGGTAGAACTAAGCTTTCATTTTCCTGTGTAAAGCCAGGGGTTGTCTTAAGCATGACTGTTGCTTCGACGAGTCAGGTTATGCCAGCCCCAAACCCTTGGGCTGGTGGCCGGTCCCTGGCGTGGTGCCTGATGTCTGGGGCTGCCCTGGTGCCCCCAGCTGCCTGCTCCTGGCTGGGCAGTGAGAATTAATCTTCCTGTAATACAGGTTGTATTTGCAGACTCTTAAGTCTCTTTCTCAAATGCAGTCTTGCCTTTAAACAGTGGAAGCTTACCTGGTAAGTGAGGTAGAGGTACCTAATATAATACATGCTTGTGCACTCACACACGTGCGCACTCATGCATTTATGCACAAACATGGCATTTTGGAATGTGCAAAAGTTACTTAATTTTCCATGCTCACTTGTTATTTCATGCTGATTTTGTGAGTGTTGCTCCCATATTTTGTTCTGACAGCACTTGTCTGTTTGCCAGCCTACTCAGATGCATTATTTCATAGAGGGGTGTGTGAAATAATTTGTAAGTGCTGTTAATCTCAGAAATTATAACTTCAGGACAGTGAATTCTCCATTTTCAAAGGTAGACAGAGGAAAAAATACCCATCAATAATAGTAGTGCTTGCACAGACTTTTCCAGTTCTTCTGCCCTGAGCCCTAAGGAATGCTTCTGATTACGAGAGTGAGTTTGAAAGAGGATGAGTCCATGGGCAATGAAGTCCTAGATTCAGTGAATTTAATGGGAGTTTTCTGCCTTGTAAGAGGAGTGACAGAATTTTTATTGACCTCAACTGTGCAGAGATTTTGTTGTTCTGCACTGTGGAGTCCCACAGCATGGGAGGGAAGGGAGTCTCCATGCCCTGAAGAAAAGTTTGTGAGGAAATACATTTTCTGTCCGGCTCTAGGAAGTCAAGTTAGAGGGAGTATGGGGAGGTCATTAG